AGCCATTTTTTAAAAATATTTCTATAAAAAGAAACAAAAATCGAATTAGTAGCATAAAAAATGATGACGACTAATAGCTAGTAAGCTTTGTCCACCCAACAAATCTGAAGAGGATTCAGGCTTTGTTGAGTAATAATTAAGACAGAATGGATAACCAAAAGGATTTATACTAAGTATGACAAAGAAAAAAGTGAGAAAATGCAACACCCAACTGTATGGAAAGATAACAAATATTCTCAAAGTGCAGTTATCAAACACCTTGTGGATACTGGTGGTTTCTCTAAGATTTCCAAATCCTTCAAAATATTAAACATACAAAAGACAGCTAATTTACTACGATTTACCGCTGAAGCCATTGCAATCAAGCGTCTCAAAACTAAAATTTAGCATAAAGAAAGAGAGAATGTAATCATTCTTTCACTACCTTGCTAACTGCATTTCGATTACATTGAGATTAATCATTCATTTTAGTGATTTTAGTTCAAAGAGTATGTTTCCAAGTTTATGAACTACAATCGTCTTGAGTTGCTGGGTGAACCTACAAGCTAACACTGTAATAGAAAAGATTTGTAACTCAGTTGGATGATTTGCAATTAATAGTGTTCTCTGAGGTGCCTGGTCTTTCTGGACGACGTCTTCAGCGCAGTATTTAGCATAAAGTCAAATGATTTAAAATCTCCATGAACGAATGATCCATCAGCTAGCACTGTATACTGGATTTCTCTGTGTTCTCTTCCCTCCTCTTATTTCTTTTCTAAAAGTATATAAATTAATGGTAACTTAAACTAAAAGATGTGATGTTCGAGAAGTAACCGGCTGATATCCTTGAAACAGTAAGAATACGTATAACAAAATATAGCCTTGGCGATACATTTGACTTCACCGACTCAGTAAAGGATATCAACGTGTTTGAAAGACAAATGCTCTCACCTGATGTCATCTCTGTGTTCATAGGCATCCCCATGACCGAAACAATATGCTTGATTTGTGACTAAATCGAAACTAAAAAACTAGAAGTTCCTTTCCCCATCAACTACTTGCAGAAACTATTCCGCAGGTGTACGTTAAATATCCAATTTAAATTCAACGAACAATTCTACGTGCAGAAAGACAATCTAGCCATGAAGTCTCGTCTCGGTTCACTCCTAGCCGACTACTTCTTATGGCGAGTCTAGAAAACAACATTCTCGATCCTATGATAAGTCCGCACTGCACTTATAAGGAGATATGTAGACGATACGTTCATAATATGTGATGAAAAATTTGATTTAGACTATCTCTTCAAAGCTTTTAACGCAGCACAACCATCAATAAAATTCACCTTAGAATGTGTATCAAACATGCCATCTCCGTTCCTCGATGTACTACTTAGCAGAAGACAGGATTGTAGAATCGAAAGATCAATCTATCGCAATCCAACATGGACGGGACAGTTTACCAACTTCCACAGCTTCGTCCCACTGATCAAAAAGCGAAACCTGGTACATACATTAAGTTCAAGAATTAGGAAAATCTGTTCGGAAGGCACTACAGGCGAAGAGTTAAATTTATTACGTAATACCCTACTAGAGAATGGGTATCCACCAAGATTCATGGACAAAAGTGTGAAATAGAAGCCTCCATCGCCAAATATAGCAACTGTTACTAAGAAAACTCTCCTAACGAACCTGGAATTCAAAGGTGACATCGCAGCAGAAATTCTCAGAAACCATCTTCCTAAATGTCTGAAGAAGACATTTCCAACAGCCACCTTACGTATCACACTCTCTAGCAGACAGTAAATCCAGGCTAACGTTAGGGATAAGATACCGCTTTTGGCCAATTAAATGTTTATTTATGAATTTACTTACTCGTGTGGAGCAAAGTATATCGTCTGTACGCAACATCAAGTCCACAAAAGTAATCTGGGATATTGTCCAGCTTGGTTAGCCAGAGGAGAAAAGAAGAATGGCAGCAGCTCTATCCACGAAAACCTTGTCATCTCCGGACATCGAACAGTTCCACGCGAAAGCTTCACAGTGCTACACAGAGTCTCTCAATATCGTACAAAAAGACTTCGCATACACCATCTGTGCTCAGCCGAACCATTAGCTGTTCGAGATCTGAAACCGGACCTCCTCATTCAAAAGCGATACATACATTCTCTCGCCCTACCGTGGCCAGAGGAAAGTTCTTACTATAATTTTGCTTCTTTTTTATCATGTATCTTCACTATCATTATTGTTATTTCTACTATTGTTTTACTATCATTGTTATTCCCATCGTTTTGTTACCACTCTATTATTGTTTATTAATTAATAACATCGCTTTTTCATAAGGGTTATATATAAAGACACTTTATAGCCTTTCCACTAGTTCCTATTTATTCTGCACGAGCTTACTGGTTAGTCATTATCTAACACCTATTACGTCATCCCACCTTCTACCTATTTTACAACTTACAATTAGTCATCCCTTCCCTTCTCTTCTTACACCTTACATTATGTAATACATTTTTGAGGACAAAACGTTTACCAGTACCTGATTGGTCTAAAGATTTCTCTGTTTAATATAACTGTAACTCACCGTGAGTGCTTCTTCCCCTTAACCCTCTTGGTTTTTTTCTTTCTTTGCTTATTATTACAAATACTATTATTACAATTGTTATTATTCGTCATAGTGTATGCCCTTCATGCACACATTCCCTCAATACTATTGAATTTTCCATTTATACTATCTGCACTTATTATTAATGATATTAACCCTTCTCTCAATATATGTCTCCACCTGTTTCTTCTGACACATTGGTTATTTCATTATAAACCTTCCACTGCAGTTTTACTATCTCTTGTTTAGTACAGACCACTTTGTACTAGCCATTCGCCTGACACCTTTTATGATATAATTACGATTGTAAAGCTCGTTAAATCGTTGAAAAGAAAATTTTCTTCGCTGTTTACGTCTTTTTTAAACATTTTTAAAATTGATGGAAAAATTACTTTCACTTCGTCTTGAACCTTTATTGAAACCTTTTAATGATCCTAAACAATTTGCATATAAACATGGTAGATGTGCCTTGTGTGCTGCAGTTGTCTTATATCATAATGTTGTTTCTTGTTTAGACAAGGGTGCCAAATATGTTCGTGGTGCTTTCCTAGACTACACATCTGCTTTTGACTCTGTACCTAGAGGCCTTTTATTGAACAAGTTTTCGTTAAGGCAAACAGGATCCTGGGCTAAGAGTTGGTTGCATTCTTATTTTTCTGATAGAATGCTGTATACTGTATATAATGGCAAATCTTCTACTACCTTGCTTATAAAAGCCGGTGTTCCTCAAGGTATCGTCCGCTCTCCTTTCCTTTTTTCTTTCTTCCTACACGACCTACCTCATTTAAACGAAACTAACTTCTGAACAAAGCAAGAACTACAGTTTTAGCAGAATAAAATGGTACCATCTTTTATTTCGTTACGTTCTCATCAGCTGCTTACATGGCAAAGACATTATTAAATGTATCTACATCAACAATTTTGACATACTTTCACAGAGTTCATTTTAAACAAAAATCAATCGATCAATATACACATACACGAAAAATATATACATACGGAAATATGCAATATGTAAAACTATCCCGAACAATAATATTCATACACAATGGAAACTTTTAGCATTTCACATTCGGAAGAAAGAGAGGTGAAATTATCCAGTTACCAGGGCAAAGAAAGATTGATAACCGCTTCTTTCTGTACACATAAATCAGGTTTCAGGCGCTTGATGGAAATGGCTTCAGCAAACTTAAGGAGAATTGAGCTCTTTTGCCTATTGATAATTTTGAACGACTTTTCGACGTCCACCTCATGACCCATGTCGAGGAGATGCCTGGTGATGGCACTGTTTAAAGCATTTGTTCCCTTTAGACGTAAGCGTCTTGATACATGTTCGGAAAATCGTAGATATGCCCTTCTTCTTGTCCTTCCAATGTAACTGCTCCCGCAGATACATGCAGATATACTTAATAATGTCTTTGCCATTTAAGCAGCTGACGAAAAGGCAACGAAATAAAAGATGGCACCATTTTATTCTGCTAAAACTGTAGTTCTTGCTTTTTTCAAGTTCATTAAGGGGAATGAATGTATGAAACCAACTTTGTTAAATATGCAGATGATCTGACTGTATCACTACCTATCACTTCCGAGTCTGACTGCTTCAAACTTAATAGCTTTCTGTTGGACATCAACAACTGGTCCAAGTCAAATGGTCTTATGTTAAGTCCTTCCAAAAAGTTAACATTACTTTCAAGTATTGACGTGACATGCATGAACTAGTTAGTTCCTATGATGCCTGTAGCATAGATGGCACTGAAATTTAAACCATGCCAAGCATTAAATACCCAGGATTATTTCTTTCCTCTGACCTTTCATGGTCGTCCCACATCTCATCAATCTCTAAGAAAATGTTTCGTCTTACCTTCTACATTAAAAAGTTAAGACAATCAGGTATCAACTAACCTTTACTTCTACAGTTTGTAAACTCCTGTATTTTACCTATTGTACTCTATTGCTCTCCATTAATCTTTCCTGGGCTTCTCAAAAAAGACTATATCATGTTACGAAGGGTAGGGCTTGTGGTATGCCACTGCATAAACCTGCCAACATCATAGTCGAGAGACACATAAATTCCTGTACAAAATGGACAAAGGCTGTACTGTTGTGGTGAGAGCAGGCTGCTAGCCGATTGGTTGGCACTAATCTACGTTAAGGTCTAGGTCACTAATATGGGCCGTGAGAAAATATGAACAAGGCTGAGTCAACAACCAATCACAGCAAAGTTAACGTGGCAGAATATGATTCGCAGAGAGAACTCTATTTGTCAAGGAATCCCGAAACAACCAATCAGAAGCCTGCGTTTGTCTACCTAAACAACCAATCAGATGACTGCGCTTGTCTATAATAATGTAGTTGAAAGATGTATAAATACGTGTTGATTTTCATAATAAAACGATCTGTTGCCTGGCCCTTGTCTTCTGTTGTTACATTTGGTGTCGCTGCCTACCGACAAATGAAAAGCCTATACCCTGCAGTTTTTGATGGAGACATATGGATCTTCGGGCAGGACTTCAAGGCTTCTGCGCAGTTGAGTGGCGTTCAAGATCTGTCAGCGATGGAGCTGCTACTTGAGACGCTGCTGGGAGGTCGGGCGAAAGCAGCATATGAAGGTGTGGGCCGAAGTATGGACGAATGTTCGACAGGGTCAGGCAAACAGTTTCCAAAGTGGGAAGGACCATATATGGTCACTTCGAGATGGGGTTACGCAGACACAGTCGCAATGGCGAACAATAAGAGGCGCGTGAACGTCAGCGAGCTCCAGAAATGGATACAGCGAGACAAGCCAACGATGACGCCTGCACCAAGTAGATCAAGCCGACTTCAGTCGCACGTATTTGACGGGGGGACGAGTGTGGTGAGAGCAGGCTGCTAGCCGATTGGTTGGCACTAATCTACGTTAAGGTCTAGGTCACTAATATGGGCCGTGAGAAAATATGAACAAGCCTGAGTCAACAACCAATCACAGCAAAGTTAACGTGGCAGAATATGATTCGCAGAGAGAACTCTATTTGTCCAGGAATCCCGAAACAACCAATCAGAAGCCTGCGTTTGTCTACCTAAACAACCAATCAGATGACTGCGCTTGTCTATAATAATGTAGTTGAAAGATGTATAAATACGTGTTGATTTTCATAATAAAACGATCTGTTGCCTGGCCCTTGTCTTCTGTTGTTACACTGTCAGACCTCCTGCACTCCCATTATTTACCACTATCCCCTTGCATCTCATCAGGTAGGAGGAGAAGTCAATATAAGAAGTTATATGCTCAAACCACTAAGTACAAAAATTCTAAAATACCGTATTTAGCCCGTATTTTATGTGATGAAGACTCTGTTAGACGTAAAACATATAAGTTACTATGTAATTAGCAAAGTGAATCGACCCTTTCATCGTTCATCTTACTGTACTTTTATGCTGTCACCCTCTCTATCGTTTAATTATAACTTAGCGAAATTATTTTAGTTGTTATTACTATTATTAACACAATTTTATACTTTATACATATTTTCTCTTCATCGCGTACTGTAATTTCTACATAGCTGCTATAACAACGTTTTGTTGTTGTTATAACTATGTAATGTTTATTTTTTGTCGTTTTGAGTAAATTAGATGCAATATTGTACTGAATGCTGAAAATCCCTTGCTGTATTGTTTTGTACTGTTTTTGGAATAAAGCAAAAATTATTATTATTTTCTTATGACTCAATAGGGAAATATTTCATTCATTGATATTAATTTATGCTGCAAATTGGGTCTTTCTTTATTTCTTTATCGTAATTTATCAAGGAAATCAAGTGTCTGCAATTAAAATAATTTAATCCGCTCCACATCCGATGAATTTCACAATCAGCTTGTACAAATAATTGCTATCAGCTGTGAAGACAATATTCCATAATTGATTAGACTTGTTGCTTTTATTTCTCATGACTCTGATCACTTTCAGTTATTTTGTCAGTTGTGACTGACCTAATCTTTATCAATGCATTCTGCTTTTTTTGAGTAATTTTCAGCCTCATGAAATATTTAATTAAGGGGATAGATCAATATGAAAAATGCTCTAATTGAATTGACCTCTTTTAGTGAATTATTATCATGCTTGATTAGTCTCCATCCTGTTTTCTTTATTTTCGTTCCGAATCAGTGCGAACCGATCTCATGTGAATTGACAGAAATTTTCCACAACCACCTATCAAAGTTCATATAACACATTGAGCAATTTGTTCTTAGGTTCATCTATAAATACGTTAAAGTTTTATAAGATGAAATCCTATTATTGAGTAACTTTTGAGTCATTGCAAACAAAAAGAGTTGAACATTTCTGAAGATTTCAGTCGAAAAATCGAATTGCTGGAGAGATGCGTATACCTCATAAAAAGTTGCTAAAAAATTGATTTACATGAAATAATCCTTCAGAGTATGAGATGCTTTCAGGAGTAATAATGGATTGAGCTTATGACTTAATAATTCTATATTTCCATGCTTTTAACCAGGATCTGGACTTTGCCGATGATATATATGTATATCTGATTTCCCCCAAACTGGAAGATATGCAAGTGAAAAGCAACAAGTTGGAAATAGAAGAAGCATCAAAGATAGGAAGGACTTCAGGTGAGCATAGAGAAAACAGAGGTGGTGAAGATTCCTGGCCAACACTAACAGCAACAAAAACAGACAACAATCAGCTTAAATGGGAGGAACCTGAAAGAAACAACCTCCTTCACCTACCCATCTGGGAAGCATCGTTTCAACTACAGGTGGAACTGACGAGGATATCAAAGCGGGGATCATCGGAAAAGCAAGACGGGCTTCATTACTCTCAAGTCTGTGTGGATGTCAACAGCACTCAGCATGAAAATGAAAATAGGATCGGTATTTTCAACTCCATAGTGAAGGCAATGCTACCATACGGATCAGAGACTTGGTGCTGTGTCATAAAGAATACCTCAAACAAACTACAGACCTTTATTAACATCTGTCTTAGCTCAATACTCAAGATCAGATGGCTGGCCGGAAAAGATCAGCAAAAGAGATCTCTGACGGTGAACCAACACAACAGGAACCAACTGTGCAACGAATAGGCGGAAGAAATGGAGGTGGAGTGGCCATACTCTAAGAAAACAAGCCATCAAGTGACATCACTAGACAAGCCCTCAAGTGAACCCTGAAAGGGAAGCGGCGACTTGTTCGTCGAAGGGTGACCTGGAGTAGGTCATGTGAAGAGAAGACGAAAGCAGACCTGGAGCCAGGTGAAAATTCTAGCGGAGAACCGGGCTCAATGGATACGCACAGAATTAAAGGGATTTATAATAATGCTTTTAACGTGAAAGGGTTAGGTATGCGAAGTTGTGATTGATTCCCGAATCGATTGTGTGACCAACTGATATCATTAAGAGAAAGCAAGCACTAGATATAATTAGAAAAAATTGTTTGGAAAATCCCTCCTGGAAGATCTAATCCCAATATTTGTACTTTGTCAGGTCTTTCAACTAACTAAGTAATCATAACCAGTTTGAAGTCCTCGTTTCGTACCTATACTGACGCCACTGTTCGAGTGATTTTGAGTTTTCTTGGTATTACGATTTTATAGAATCGCAAAAGTATTCCCAGGACAATCATATTCTTCCTGTCTATGGAGTGTTTCATGACTGCTCATGTCTCAAAGAACTCCCGGAAAGCTGTTTAATAGGATGCAGAAGTCGGTTTTGCTGCATTCAGACCGAAACGAGCAGCTTTCGACCACTACAATAGACTCTTCAGTAGTTAAAGATATAATTTACACTTTACTTTGGACTTGATTCAGATCATAAATAGATCAGATATATAAATTAGTGGATGATGAGATTAGGTTTTACAAGTCATGGTCATGGATTGACATCAGCTAAAGAACCATTGAAAACCAACACCAGAGTACTGAGAGACAGCTGTTTCATCGCACTAATTTGAAAATAACCGGCAGTACGCACCTACACACTGAGCTTCAAACCCAGGACCTTCCGGTTGCAAAGCAAGATCGTATACCATTCAGCCAGTGGGACCCGATTCAATGGCCACTGCATGAATTCTAAACTCTACGAATTTGTGATTTAGCGCGACCGTAACAAGTATCGTCGGTTGGCCACTGAATTGGGTCTCAGTGGCTGGATGATATACGAGCCAGCTTGCTTTGTAACCGGACGGTTCAGGGTTCGAACCCTGTTGTTGGCTGCGTACTCCAATGATCCACAAACTCGGATGAAACAGCTGTCCAGTACTCTGATGTTGGTTTTCAATGGTTCTCTAACTGATATGAATCCGCGAACAACTCATAAAAAACAAAACTAATCCTTACAAACCAACTATAGAAAACATTCGCCTTTAATCTGTTTTAGTTTTTGCCCAGTTAAAGTCTAAATATTATAAATACTAGAGAGAAGTTAATGCCTTAGCGTTATCATTATTCAGAAACACTGAATTCATGCGGATGATTTATTATTTTGAATTGAGATGTTTTATGTCTACTGTGAATGCCGGCAAGATAAAGATAGCTTAAATCAAATACTGAGGGATAAGTGAACACAAATTTTGTGGGTTCGTCAAAAAGTTCGCCATCACGTTTACCATCTGCTAAACAGCCCTAAGCAGATGAAACCTCATGCTGAATGAAATACCTCTTAAAATCTAGCATATATTTGTTTAAAAGGGGTTTTCCAGCGAACAATACACACTGATTTCAACGACAAGAAACATTACATAGTTTATTATTCTACTGGACATTATTCTACTACACTGAGAAATTAATAAAGTCATATAAAGTATAATTATATATTTCATTGTTTTCCACACAATGATGAGTTGTGTTATTGGTAATATTTCGTGCGTGTTCACACCCTTTGTTGCACTGGATGCGTCAAAGGAAAAACCTACATGGTATTATACGAAAGTTATTCACAATGAGCTAAAAGATATTTAATGAAGCAAAAGAAAAATTGAAAGGAAAAAGAAATTGAAAAGGAAAAGTATGAAAGTATACTAGAAGTTGTACACAAAAACGGAAAAAAAACTACCTATGAAGAAACAAAGAAGAAACAAATCACAAAACACTGAATAAACTCATGATAGCGAAAAATACGAATGAATGTCAAACAAGTAACTAAAATCAATTTGGTCGTAAATCTGTTAGACAGAAAGCTAACAGACTCAGAGGAAAGCGTACTGGTGAAAGGGATAAACTTCAGTAGTATTAAGAATAGATTAAAACCTGAAGATATCATCCATGTAATTGAAATAGCACTTGTAGGACATGACAAGCAAAAAGCTGAACTGGAACGAGCACAATGTGCATTAACCTTAAAAAAAAGGCAAAAATCAGAAAAACCAAATGTAACGAAGGAAGAACTAAAAGCAGACAAATCCATTGTCATTACTCAAGCAGACGAAGCAAAACACAACAGTACTATTTAACAAAGCAGCATTTAGCGAAAAGATGAATGAACATTTACAATCTGGACCCTATACACTAATGACAAAAGAAACGACAAGGTAGTTAGACAGATGAAAGAAGTAATTGGTAAGTCAAAATGGTTTGAAACTGTGCCTAAATCATGTAACATATCTAGGATATATGGCAAAATAAAATCGCATAAAGAGGGATATCCAATAAAACCGATTGTAGACTGCAGATACACACTAACGTATATGTTATCAAGATTTCTCTCGACAATACTAAGACCGACAAGAGACAACTCAAAAGCTAGAATAGTAGATTCATTTGAATTAGTGAGGCAACTAAAAGCCACTAAAATAGAGGAAGAGGAAATACTAGTCAGCTTTGATGTAAACAGCCTTTATACTAAGATACCCATTCAAATGGCTATTACTGCACTGTAAACGAGACTAAAAGAAGATAATAGCCTAAAAGGCAGAACACAGTTGTCCGTAGAAGAGATAACATAAGAGGGGTGAAATTCTGTCTGACACTATATTTTACATTTAAAGAAAAAATATGCCAACAAAAGGAAGGAGTAGCCATGGGATTGCCCATCTCTCCAACA